GCGAGATCGGAAGATTTGGAAGATTGGACCTTGTGCCAAGGGCCTTTTCGGTGTGATTGGAAGTACACACTAGTACTGGAATAGTATGAAATCCATGCATGTATGCATCAGAGGATTGAAATGTAATTGAAATGGTCTTCCAACAAGCACCATAAAGGTGTTTTTGGCAATGCCAGTTCAGAACCTGGTCCTATCGGGACTTTCTATACGGCGAACGGACCTTTCGCTTGACTTGGCACTTCGCAACTCTAGACCCGTGATCCCATACACAACACTTGGACTCGCTGACTCGCCCACTTTGTTCTCGCCCACTGGGAGGAAGGGAAGAAATCGGCAACAGGTTGACAGGTTTCACAAATCTGCGGCCGCAGATGTCACCATGTTTGCCCCATTTCCGAACTCTGATCAGTTGCACAGACAAACAGACCCGCTAGTTCAGGACCCAAGAAACCTCTTCATGTACCCCTGGTAGCGAAAAACTAGATGGAGCCGAATGCACACGCGCCCTCAAAAACATATGGCCGAACATTGCTTGACACTCTAGTAGACTCTAGTAGGACACTCTTTTGGGACACTCTTGTGGGGCACTCTTGAGTGTCCCGCAAGAGTGTCCGACAAGAGTGTCCCACAAGACTCTGCCACAAGAGTGTCCCACAAGACTGTGCTCTTGACCAGAAACAAGCCCGCTCACCAGTGTCATGCCGTGTTTACACACGCAGTGTTCTTCCCATTCTCTAATGGCAAACGCACTTCTCGGTGGGCCATGCCAAGCCGATGGCACAGCAACATCAGGGAGGTAGTTTCGCCGCCGTGCGCCACAGACTAGATTATGCAACTGTCCGTTCCCCAATGGCACGGAGTCACACGCATGCACTTTCCACCAATGCAGCGCCAAACCGCATGGCACAGCGACATCAAGGATGAATTTCGGCTCACCACGTACCACTGCTGAAGCATTTCGGATGAGGACTTCCTCCAAAAAGTCACGCGTCAAGTCTCGAAAACGAGTGTTTGGTACGAGAGGTCCTCCAAAACTCACGCGTCAAGTCTCCAAAACAAGTGTGTACCGTTTGGTACGAGACATCCTCCAAAACTCACGCATCAAGTCTCTAAAGCAAGCGTTTCGTACGAGATGTCCTCCAAAAGTCAAACTGAGAACTCTCCAAAAGGATCATTTCGGACGAGACTTCCTCCACAAGTGGAGCGGGAAGTCTGATCAGAGAGAACGCATCAAGCACCCTGCCAAGCAGTTTTGCAATTCGAGCCCCTCAAAACTGCACCCGCCGACACCAATCCCAACGGCACAGCGACATTATATTTAACCTCCACTAAACGTCGCCACCTCACGATTCCCTGCGCCTGCCACGAAAATTTAACTTCCACACACCTCCAACAAGCACAAAGTGCTGCTCCTGCCACGAAAGGTTGCTGCGTCACATTTTCTTTTTTTCAGCAAATTTGCACCACGCCATACGAATTGGAATTATATACATCGACGCTTTCGGAGCGCACTCACATCAACCACAATCGTAATTTTAGTTGAGACGTGATACGTGTCACAAAAACAGCTTTGAGGCAAGGGCCTGAAAAGCAAATCACAATGGTACAGCGACACTCAACATCTCCGAAAGACCACTCTGGAACCGCAATCCCACTGGCACAGCGAAGGCAAATGAGGATCTCACAAAACGCTGCACACACGCAGCAAAATCATCCTCCACATGGCCATCCAGAACCTCCTCCAAAAGATCACCCCATCGGCAGGGCCTTATCAATCACATTGTGCACAATCACAATGACTCGGGGACGGTTGCGAGCGCGAAAACAACATCGCACGAACACAGCTCTTTAGTCTCAGCAAAGATACACGAGGACCCTTCACTATGCCGCTATGCGTTCGGGGAAGCTAAATCCTGACCTTGCTACGACACCGCTATAAATCAGTCACGACAAAAGCAAAACAACGGAAGATGCAGTTAAAACATGTTGAACCATGTTGAACCCAAGACTTGCAGAAGGCACCCAGACTAACCATGGCGCATTTATGACAAAAACATGTTGCCTCGTCTTTGCCGGTGGTAGATTGTGGTAGTGGTCCTGTTAGTCATCCCAAGGATCTCCTTGGCAAAACAACAACTGCCAAGAAATGCTGCTGTGGACGCGTTGAAACACAACGAAAAATCATTGAAAGGGCTACAAACGTGTTTTCAACGAATTGTTTTCAACAAGAAGGACTCTGGACATCTTTGGAATTCGGCTTTGCGGATCGGGTGAAATAAATGTTGCCGAAACTGATGAACCCCCGATCCGCATGGGGATACACGGTTTACATTTTCTTGGTTCGTTGAGCAAATCTAAGTTATTGCAAAGGGCAAGAGTTGTCCCAAGATGTTTGAAGCAGGGAGTTGGCATTTGATGATGCAAGAGTTGTCCCAAATTTTTGGCCACCCAAGACGGCGACCAATTGGAGGAAAAAAATCGTTTCCCACCGATGAATCTGCTAGAGATCACTGGATCGGCCTGAGGGGGTGCAAAGTCATGCATGAAGTCTCAATTCATCGGAGCCGTCGCTAGTGACCAGTGGCGATGTCGCAAGGACAACCAGCGTTGCTGCAAGACACAGCATGCCGCGCGTGTTGGGTGGTTTGTGCTTGCCAAAGAAGACGATGGAGGCGTGTGGAGCGGAGTTGAAAGTATGGGGGTCATTCTGGTCCTTGTCTTCCAATTTTGCTTTTGTTTTTTGCAGTGTGTCGTGGTCAGGTCTGTGGGATATCACAAAGATGATCCGAGATGCGTTGAAAAAAATATATTATATACAAATATTATATATTCCAACATAATGTATGCATGTTGGTCTCAAATATACTCAATTCTGAAATACAAATATATCTATACCTGGATAGGTAACTATACAATATAAAGATCGTATATGAAGAAATGATTGTGGATATTTTGAAATATTACGTCTTAGAATTTGGAATTTATGATGTTGTTAAATAGTTTTCAACAATTATATAATAGATATATCAATATATTGCGAACCATTTTCCACTTAGACCATCGCCTGT